AAACTGGGGCGAGAAAAGGGCGGCAGAAGGACGTCCAGGACGGGTTGACAGTTGTAGCGCTGCTGCTGTTGACCTCCGCCTAGGTTTGGCGAAGTGGAGGAGGCGGAGGAGTTGGAGAGGACTGCGGCACCGGAGGAGGGGCTACCGCTACCTAGTGGTGATGGTTGTTGCTGCTGTTGTGGTGGAAGTAGGTTGTAGAGCAGAGTAGTAGAATTGTCGCTATTCTCGCAGGAAGCACTGGAAACAGTAGTCAGGTGGAGGGGGTCGCGAACGGAGAGCAAAACAGTGCCGTCTGGAAGGTCCTCGGAAACACTGGAGTGAAGAAAGACAATATGATGAAAAATCTCGTAATAAAGGCACAGCTCTCCAGCTTTATCCTGCCCAACTGCCGAGTACAAACCTTAAAGAGTTGCTGCACGTAAACATTCCGCCTGACTTACCTGATGTCGTAACTTGCCTGGCGGTTTCCTATACTAAACTCGCGAGTTTCGCTACACGGAACTTGCCGCGTTTTAACTTTAAATTTATTCTCCAGGTAAATCAGATAAAGTAAGGTGTAAGAAAGCAGTTTATTTCTCAAAAGTGATATCGAGTTTTAGCATTTAGGTTTGCGATTTTTTTTAATATTTATTATATGTCTCGGTGACAGTTGTGATAAGGTTTTATTGTTTGAGTGAATTTACAAACGGTCATCCGCATTAGAAGGAATGCCCAAGAAATCACTACTTCGGTATCTATTTCGATACTTCGATATCTTATTTGAAGGTGTGAATAAACACATAGAACAGAATCTACAATTGTGCGTAACAGATTGAAAAGTCCAAAAATCGTGAAGTATTCACTGTAAGGACGAGCTGAAACTCTGTTCTCTGACACCATAAAGTAATTTGACGGAAGGACAGTTATCCTAATGTACACAGAAGAGTTTGTTTACACCTACACATGGAAATTCACCGACCCGTCTGTCAACATGGGACCTTATGAGGAATTTTATTCGTGTGACTTCCTTACGGGGGAAATGGAGCGAAAACCTGTTTGCCTAAGGCAACTGTATTTCAAAGGAAAAACGAAAAAACAGCGAATTATCTCATGAAATCCTAATAGAATCTGCACCCAAACTGTAAGCTGTTTTTCAGGGATCATAATGGACATCGTACTTTTCCTTGCAGTACAAACTCCACTAACGAAGTATTTTTCAAATTTTATTCTACTTGTCATTATGCGTCAACCCGTTTTTTGCGTGAAAAAGCTTTCTGTCAGCTTAGTCAGTTAGAGCGACTTTTAACATTTTCGGAATTCTTGGCTTGTCATTTAACAAAACAACTGTCAGCGGTCTTCAATATACGCTCTTTAAATACCGCAGACGTACTTTTTAACAGCATTATACACTACGAAGGCTCCATTGAAACCAAAAAAAACGGATGACGGTTGCCATGGCGGAATTTGAAAATCCGCCACAGTGTGAGTGAATTCTTTTCATCAGAATTTCAAGGTATTGATGAAAAAACGACTGACTCCACGACACGTACACGTTCGGTTGGTAATCGTAGTTTAATATTATCAGGAAGACATCACCCGCGTCGACGTCTTGGGGTAAGTTCGACACCACGAAAAGTGCGTACCGCAAGTTTATAAAAATATAGTCGATGGCACAATCAAACCGAGCGAGATGTAGTCCTGTCGAACATAAAACGGCAATTGCCGGTTAGGAGGTTGGCTTTTGTAAGCAGGCCTTGATAATGACGTTAATATCCGCCTCATTAACGGCAGAAGCATCTAGAAACGAAGTGCAGCTTACCGGATTCCCGGTTGAAGGTAATTGCGGGTTAGGTTAGAAATATTCATAACCGCAAATAAAGATGGGTTGTAGTCGTTCGCAGGCTAGACCAGCGACGTTGCTGCAAATATCGCTATTGTCCTTCTCAGATGATTTCAGGCTGTGCGCGACTGTAGGAGGCCCGAACAAGCCGGATTCCATGCTGGGCATAGATGTGCGGACCAGATATTCGCACTGAGGTGCATCCTTGAATTCCGTCATAACTACCAAGAAGCGATGGCCGTCTACTTTGTTGTATTTGCAGCCGCGTTCGGTTCCATTCATCGTGAATTCCTATGGCAGATAATGCCACTAGATGATTTACCACCAAATATCATAGAAATGATTAAGGCCTACAGGCTTACTATATTTCGGAACCGTTCGTTATTCGTTCTGGTGTTTGACGACGTTGTATCCTGTCGTCCATTTTGTTCCACTACTCTATTGACTGAGTTCGCATGAAGGCCCTACGTTAAGAGGACGGTGTTGAACGTGCACCCGGACGCCGGCTGGTTTTGGTGATCCACAGTCTATGGTGCTGGGGGTGCACGAGGTCGCTAAATCGGTCGGCTTGTCCATAAGTGCTTTCATGTTGCAAACCTGCCTAAGATAAGGTACCTCTCGAGATTGATTGAGGTAGACATTTTCAAATACCTCGGAGCGAATGAATACAGTACGGATGACGCCGGCTCCCGAATTAATGCAGTCCGTAGAATTTTCGCAAGCCTTAGAGAGTGCCTATGGACCCAATCAGACATCTCCATTACCACGAAGGTTCACATGCACCGTGCATCCGTACGGTCAGCCTTTCTCTATGACTGGGCTATGCGCATGGACGAGGAAAGAAAACGTGAGGTATTTGAGAACTGCTTGAGAACCATGCTTCGAGTGAAATATACCGACTGTGTCTCAAATGAGACAGTCTGCACTCGCTGTGAAATTATCATAAGGATATCTTAGGCTGTCCGAGAAAAAAAAACTAAGGCGCTTTAGGTAAGTTTTGCTTCCACTGCCTTATTGCCCTCGATACGACACCATTACAAAATTGCAGACTTCGAAGAGGGAGTTCGTTGGGCATTCAGTATTCGGCCTCCGTCGTTAGCGAAGAAAACTGTCTAGTTCTGCTGCCACAGATCGTTACATTTGTAGAGATAAAATCTTAGACATCCCGAGGTCGGCTAGATTAAGCATGATCGCAGCCGTAACACATACAATCTGAGGTTCTTCTGGGTGTTCAGATGTACTCGATTAAGGCAGATATAGTTCCAGAGTGGTCTCGTAATTAGTGGGGAAATGGCCTAACAAGGATTGGGGTCAGTGAAAAGAGGTTCAAGTGAGAAACCCAAACAGGAGGAGAGAGCAATAGGTTTTGTTAATGACAGAAAGGTACAAGTTTTCTGCGCAAAATAATTCATCGTCACAGCAGCACTGTTAACAAAAGACTTTTTCGGTAAACTCTGGACTAGGAAAGAGGCTACTTTACATCGTTCACTGAATCACTGATCTAACTACATTCAAGTCGGTTGCTACACATCTTGTATGCCTATCCCTTCAAATGAAGTTAATACACACAGACCCTGTGCGCAAAGGAAACAACAAGCTTGAGACTGCCGACAAACATTGCTGGTACGCAGTGCGCAACAGAAGACCTCGAGTACATTGTGATTGTAGGATTAAAGACAATCCCCTCTCGCGTTCTCATCTACTAACTTAGCACTGCTGAAAGGTGAGAAGAGATTGTGGTGCGATAAGATCTGACAGGACCTCTGGGAACACTCAA